ATCGTACTATTAATTCTGTCAAACTGCGTCTCGCACAATTGTAATTCTAACATTTAATATAATAATATAGTTGCAGTGGAAATGTAGTGAGCAACAATCATCATAGCAACATAATCTAATGTTGTGCCAACTAGTTGCAAAGCTGAGTGGAGCGATAATGGAACTCAAGCTATTATTTGTAATAAAATTTTGAATAGATGGAGATTAATTTGTGTTGTTAATGTATGTTATAGCAAGAAACTCACCTCATTCCCAACAAACGATCGAATGCGGATCCAAGCATCGTCAATCCATTACAATAATTTTAAAATTCACGAAGTCAAGTTAGATTAAAAAATAATTTAAGTAACATAAAAAAAGAGAGTCATGTCCATTCGGATGTTAGTCACATAATAACCGTTGATTACAAAAAGAGATATGCCGTGCGAACAAAAGCATATCGGTCAATGATAAAAATAACAAATTATAACTTGTTGAGAATTTTTATGTAACCATGATTTAATGTCTCAGTGTCAGTTTGCATGTTTAGACCACTGGATTGACGATTTATGTACAGCATCTCCGACATTATTCGCTTATTATAATTTCGCTTATTATAATTTCTCTCAGAATCCAGAATTCTCACATTATCCCAATCAAAGTTATGATTGCAACTCACTCTATGATCTGATAGCTGAACGAGTGGATGTCACTCTATTTACGATATGATTACGATGTTCTGCTAATCTTGTTTTTAGTTTTTTTCCCGTTTGATCTATATATAGGAAGCATCGCAATCACGACATTCGATCCTGTAAATCACATTTCTTTATGCAAACTTCGGCAAAGGATCCTTGTGTACTCTAATGAATTTGTTTAATTTATTGAGCAATACATTATTATAATGAGCAATCCTATAATACATACCATTGATAAATTTGCAAAACTTGTTGAAAATTCCATTAATAAAAAGAATTGTGAACCATCTGATTTTTTATTAATTTTTTTATCTTATCATTCAATGTTTCAAAAATAAATTTCAACGGATATTTCTAATAAAATAATCATTTTCTAATAAAATCTTAATCACAAAATTTAAATTTCTTCTATGGAATTCTGGATGTGAGAGATAAAACACTCTATCAATCAAAATTATGCCCTTCTTTTGTAAAATCGGATGCTGAGACCAATAATTCAAAAATTTTCCTAAGAAGGTGGGTTTATTGTACTAATCAAAAATTAATCCGTCATTCTTTAAAATAACCGTAGTGTCCAAAAAATTAATGGTATTATCCCTACCTCCATCGTAAATTGAAGTTTCGGGTGAAATGAATTAAATTTATCCAAAATGCCGCTCACTTTGGCCTTTTTTTCAATATAATTTCATCTGCTAGAAAGAGCATCCATTGCTAACGACATTTGTAAATAAAGATAATATTTTTTAAAAAGTATACCAATAGCTTCGAACCATGTGAATAACAGCTATAACTTGATTAAAAAATTAAATAATATCCTAATTAAATTAGACTTTAGCTTGGTGTCGCTAGATGAAGTATCTTTATTTACAAATATCCCTATGGATTCAGCTATGAATGCTCTTTCTAGCAAATGGAGTTATATTGAAAAAAATTGCAAGATTCCGAAAAATGAATTCTTGAAAGCTGTGCACTTAATTTTGGTTTCTACTTACTTTACTTTCGATGATCAAATTTATAAATAGACCTTTGATACTCCGATGGGTTTGTTATTATCGATAATTACGATATTATCACCTATTATTGCTGAAATTAGTCATGCAAGATTTGGAAAATCGAAAGTACCATTGAATTCCCATTGCTTTTCTACTACAGGTATGTAGATGATATTGTACTTTGTTTACTTTCGGCCAAGGTAGATGGCATTTTGGTGGATGGCTTTTATGTTACTTAAATTATTTTTTGATCTAACTTTGACTTCGTGAATTTTAAAATTGTTGTAATGGATTGATGATGCTTGAATCCGCATTTGATCATTTGTTGGAAATAGGGTGAATTTTTTGCTAGCATACATTAACAACACAAATTAATCTATTTATTCAAAATTTTTTTTGTTTCAAATAATAGCTTGAGTTCCATTATCCGCTCCACTCAGCTTTGCAACTGGTTGGTAGCCCATCAGATTATGTTGAAAATGATTGTTGCTAACCACATTTCTACTGCAACTACATTATTAGAGATTGGAACTACGATTGTGCGAGACGCAGTTTGACAGAATTGATGTACAATAAGCGGTAATTTTTTATTGCTGAGGACTCAAAAAGTGAGCCGAAACACAACAAATTGAACAATACAAATTGAATTTGTCATTTGGTAATAGTTATTTAGCATTGCGCAATATAATATCCAGCGCTAACTCCTAAAGCCAACTTGTATTTTGATGTTATATTTTCATTATATTTATTAAAGTCTGTAAATTTTGTATATTTCTCTACTTGAAGTTGTTTACAAATAATACAATTTATAACGTTAGAAATGTTTTTAATACAAATATTTGTATTTATTTGAATGCTTAAACGTCCTTTAAGCAAGAAAAAATTATTTGAATCTACTTATAACAATTATTTATTGAAATATTTAAATAAATAATAAGTATGTCAATGTACTAGTAGCCGAACAGTCAAAATAGGTTATAGGCCAATCGTCGGACGTAATTGTCTCAGCATCCGACCACAATTAAAAATTTAATATTTTGACGGGAAATATTAAGGTAAATAAGTATACGTAAATAAGTATAAGTAATAACAATACTCAAATAGATCTTTATGTTAATAATATATTGTATTAGTTTTGTCAAGAATTACAATTTATTGTGTACTCTGTTATCAAACATAAAATATTGCAAATTTACCTAACTTACAAGCTATTAAATAAATTCTTAATACCAGGTGTACAAGCATGAAATACGGATTTAAAAAAAAACACGTTAAATTCGGAAGAATGATAAAAAGAGCTTTATTCAAAGTATGCTCCATTGCTAGTTACACATTTTTCCCATCTTTCGGGCAATTTGTGGATACCACGCCAGTAAAAATCTTCCCCCTTTGCCGCGAACCATTCATCGAGCCATTTTTTCACATCCTCGTACGAATCAAAGCGCTGCTCAGTAAGTGCGTGACCCATCGATGCAAACAAGTGATAATCGGAAGGAGCCAAGTCTGGTGAGTAAGCCGCATGGGGTAGAACTTCCCAGCTGAGTGCTTCCAACGTATCGCGAACCGGTTTTGCCGTATGTGATGGAACATTGTCATGAAGAAAAATGACTTTGTGTTGTCTCTTTTGGTATTCTAGTCTTTTTTCAAGCAGCAAACGGTTCAAATCGATCAATTGTTGTTGGTAGCGTCCAGCATTAACCGTTTCACCAGGTTTTAACAGCTCATAATAGACCACGCTCTTCTGGTCCCACCAAACACAGAGCATCGTCTTTCTGTCAAAGTGATTCGGTCTTGTGGTCGATGTGGATGGTGCGCCTGGGTCTACCCATGATTATTT